AAAAAAAAAAAAAAACAAGTAAAATTGCAAAAAAAAAGCAAATTAAAAGAAAAAAAAAATAAAATCAAATTGAATAAATTGAAACAAAGAATTCAAACGAAGTTTTATTAAATTTGAAAAGCATTAAAATATTTTTAAAACAAAATATTTTTTTTCTTTTGCAATTTCCTGCAAAAAATAAGAAGCGTAAAAGTTTACAAGAATTTTTTTTTAACAAATTTTATAAAAAATAATTAATTAATTAAAATTCTTGTAAAACAAAAAAAAAAAACAATACATATCGTATCCATGCATTAATTTGTACCACTTGATTTTTCTCATCAACATCAACAATTTGTTGTAGGAAAAGGCGCATTTTAATTACTAATGGAATATTTGAATTATTAACAGGTCGTTCTAATACATTGTAATTAGTTAATAAATCCATATATAATTGCTTTTCATCATTGCTAGCGCATATAAAATTTACCATCAATGTTAGCAATATGATAGATGACATTTGACAGAGTAATAGGCGCAAAAAGTTTAACAATTCTAAAAATAGATATGAAAAGATGAATGTAATTAATTGTAATAAAGCGGAATAATGTTATAGGATAATTTAGGACATTTACGCTGATTGTATTAAAGTATTGGAAATGGATCAATGTGACAATCAATCAGATAGAACACGAAATGAGTGAAATAAAGTAATGATTTTGTTGAACAAACTTTCTTTGCAATTTATGTAAACATAAATGAAGATAAGATGGTTGAAATATTTGCTGAAATATCGAAATACGACAATTTAAAGAAAAAAAAAGGAATTACAATTCGAATTTAATTTCAATACTTTCATTTTAGATATTTCAATAAAAATGAGAAGTGAGAAAAGAATAAAACATATTCTTTTCTTTTTTTTCTTTAATAAATTTTCTGTTCCTTTACTAAGCTTCAACTAAAAAAAAAGGAAAAACGAAAATATTATTATCTTGAACTCTTTTATCATTTCGTCATCATTATCTTGAATTCTTTTATCATTTTGTCATCATTATCTTGAGCTCTTTTATCATTTCGTCATCATTATCTTGAGC